CTTGCCAAGTAGCTCAAATATTAGCTCTAATCCCCATTTGCGCAGAGCTCTAATTTTAGGCTCTGTAGACCCAAAGCTGTATACGTAGAATATCCCTTGTTACGTTACAAATTTTCCAAATGGATACAGGAAAACGGAGCAGGAATACACAAGTTAAGAGCGGGTATCTCTGGAGTTTGGGCTTATGGGTGACTTTTGTTTTCTTTTTTCAACTTTTTTTCTTTTGCATTTTAAAGTCTAAAACAATGCAAATATGTATTGTTTTAAGATCAAAAACTTCATTTTCTGAAAAGTAGAATAGATGCTGTAGTTACTGGCAGAGCCAACCCTGGAGTAAGGACATGGTGAACAAGGGTCCCGAAGACACCTTGTTCCTTCCAACACTCAATGATAGGCACCATGTCAGACGTGCCTGTCAACTTTGGGTTTAAAAATATGCTTATGGTAGAGGTGGTGAATCAGGAGTCTGCTCTTGCAAGAAGTACCAAACAACTAGAAATGTAGTGACTCTAGACCAATAGGGAAGAGAAGGGGAAAGCTTCTTGTATAACCTGCGTTTAGCATGTGCATCCCATCCTTCCACCCCTCCCTCCCAGCATCGGGAGGTGGGTGGGAGGTCCCTGGCAGCCTCTTCTCCTTTAATGTTCCTTTGTCTTTAAACCACTGATGCGGATATTTACGAATTAGCATTGTAGGTGGAATACACATTTTTGTCAGTGAGAGGTACAGAAGGGGAGTCTTTCTAGGTGCAGGAGGTGACACAAATGAACCTGCAGTCATGGGAGTTTCTGGGGAGCGTGATGGTGCTTTAGGGAGGGCAGACATAGGTAAAATATGTGTTTTTGGTTTCTGGGAGAAGCAGAATAAGGAATGATAAAGCTGAGAAGGGACTTTTGTGTTTCGTGTTTGCCTGTCTTCTTTATATCCGCTTCTGTGGCAGCTTCTTTCCCTCGCCTCCCATGCCTGGCCTCCTGCCACCCTCTGGCTGGTCAGAGACCTAAAATAACACACCATTAAATTGCTGTCTTCCCCTTTCTTTTCTTTCTCCCCGTGCTTCCCTTCATTCTCATCAAATGTACATAGAGTTGACAGCACATCAATAATCAAAGCACAGGAAAGTTTGAGAGTCATGAACTTTACCTCCTTCATGTAGCTAATCATTTGGAATGTAGTCTCTCGAACCATGTCAGGATGAGAGTTGGCCAACACAACTGGCAAAGTTAGGCTGCAGCCAACCAACCGCTCATACACGTGTGCATGTCACAGCAGGGTCACTCCTGGCTGGCTGAGAGCATTTGGTGAACAGCCAAGTAGCTTCAGAAAGGACTCAGAGGCATGACCAGGTGCACTGCATGGGGTCCAAGAACCCTGGGAAAGAGGGGCTAAACTTATCTGCAGTTTTGGTTTAGACATGGCAGACTTGACTGATGGACAGAAGGCTTCCAAAAGGACCTGGACTAGAGGGAGAGCCCTGGGTGCCTGGCAAAAGCTAAGATGAGGGAAGTCTGGCAGCATGGGAGGAAGCTGGGCTGTGGGTACAGAGTTTCCTAACCCAGATCCTTCCTGTTCTCTATCCCTCCCTGCACAATCACTCTTCTAGGGTGTCTGTGGGTTCTGGAGGGAGAGAGATACGGTCAAAGGAAAGCATATGTCACTGTGGAGAGTGCTCATCAAAGTACTGATCAGAAACAGGTGTGTGTGTGTGAACGTGTGTGTGCGTGTGTGTGTGTGTGTGTGTGTGTGTGTGTGTTGGTGGGCGTGTCTAGAGGAGGTTGGGGTAGTGCAGGCAGCCTCCGATGAGCATTGGGGTGGTAGCTGTTCACAGAGCAGAGGATGCCAGCCAGAGCTGCATCTTTCAGGGCAGTCGTCTTCATCTGTAAAATGGGAATAAAGACAGCACCAACTTCACAGAGTTGTGAAAACTAAATGATTAATGCGTGTACAGCATTTGACATACGCCAGCACAAACAAAGTGATAAACAGCGTTTAATAAACGTTGGCTATTGTTATTTTCATCATCGTTGCTTTTGTGAGATCCCTTCTCTCTGCTTATCTTCTGCTTATTTTCAAGTGGTTGCATAGTTTGATTTTATGTGATGCAATAAAACGGATTTTGCCAGTGTTTTTGTTTTTAATCAGAGAAATTACTTCTCGGGATGTAATAGAAAAGGGTTAGATTACACCTTAAGTACATTGAACTTGAGCAAAGTTTTAAAAATGATTGTGGCATCTCCAAGTTGCATTTTTACTGAATAAAAAAATTAGGCACGAATGCCATTTTTTTTGCTCTAAGAAGATCGTGGGAATAACTAATAACACTTGGTAGAGGTTAATATAGTATTTAAGGTAGTAATTTTAACAGTTTTGAACTCATTTTTAAAGACATAATTGGAATACTTTTCAATAGACATCAGTCTTTATTTCTTAGGAAATTACAATGATTAACTGCAGGTAGCTTCTCTTATTGTTATTTGAAGACAATAGGAGTCTGTTGAGGATTGGTGGGGCACAAAATGAATGATACATGTTTTAGTAAAGACTTCACTGCTGAAACATTTTTCATCACTCTTTTTGTCTGCCTACAATTTATGTATTCAAGGCATAGTCTTCAAATGCAGCTTTCTTTACTGTATTTGGCCTAGAAAATGAATTCAAGTGAAGGAGAAGAATAATGCTTTTCCTAGGGCTAAGATATAGATTTTTCTTTTGAGGGGCTATAGATTTTTTTTTCCTCAAAAGAAAATGATGTTACACTTGCAGAACTCTGTGAAAGTTGAAAAGAGAATTTTGTTCCTTTTGTTCCTGCTTTGGGTGTTTTCAGGATTCTGCTTCTGCTTCCTTATGAAACTGTGCACTAGACAAGGACAAGAATATCACTCTCATTATTCAGGCATTTGAAATTACTCTTTTCCTTTGAAATGAGATATTCAAATCATTGAGTGTTAGAGAAATTGTGCATGGGTGTTAGAGTAAACGGATCTTGATCTGTCCTCTCAGCATGAGGCTTTCTGGAGGTGGTAAAGTGGTTTTAATCAGTGGAAAATAGCACCCGATTTCTACAAGATCTTCCCAAGCTCAAAATGATTTAGATAGTAATCTGAGTCTGAATACCACCCAGATAAGCATCTGCAGTCACATTTACCTGGACGTGGGTGGCATTGCTTTTTAAATTTCAGTATTACTGTAAAAGTTGTCTGGCTTTTACCCCTATCAGTTCTCTTGATTTAGAGGTTGGGAAAACTTCTTTGTGCTCTTTCTGGCTGGAATGTCTAGTTAGAGATTCATTCTGCTGGCTGTGATCAAGTTACATACACTGATACCCCAAATTTTCTTGATTTGGCCCTCAACTAAACAATACCAGGACTGTGAGGTCCAACAGTAAAAAGAAAAATTTTAAAACGAATTTAATATACTATGGAGTTCTTGTACAAATGCTAATTACTACAATGTGAAACAATGCTGTTTTCACTGTTTTGGGAAGTAGAAATCTTGTTCCGGGGAGAAAGAAAGAGCTGGTTTATTACTAGGTACGCTAAGTGCAAAGACAAACTTGAACAGAAGTCAATGACTTGGCGTCCAGTACAGCTAACATTCATCTACTTTTACATTGTTTCTGGTGAACTATTATAATTTCAAATCATTATAGTTGGAAAATATTTAGATAAAACATAATGTCACATTACTTTTCAATTTAAAATAACAAAACTGGAACTTTAAGCCACACAGTGTGAACAATGTGGAGTGCAGGTTGTAGGAGAGAAAAAAAGATGTCTAGATGTATTTGACATGAAAATAGAGGGTTTTTTACTGCAGTATGATATTTACAGTATCTTTATACTTAAATTTTGGCCACAGAAGTAGTCTTACTGGTTATATACACTTGGATAGATTTCCATCCAAAAAGAAAAGATGATTAAAACCACCTACCTTGGGACTTCCCTGGTGGTCCAGTGGTTAAGACTTCACCTTCCAATGCAGAGGTTGCGGGTTCGATCCCTGGTCAGGGAGATAAGATCTCACATGCCTTGTGGCCAAAAAACCAAAACATAAAACAGAAGCAATATTGTAACAAATTCAATAAAGACTTTAAAAGTGGTCCACATCAAAAACTCTTAAAAAAAAAATACCTACCTCACTCAGCCATAAAAACGAATGAAATAATGCCATTTGCAGCAATGTGGATGGACCTAGAGATTATCATACTAAGTGAAGTCAGACAGAGAAAGATAAATATCATATGATAATACTTATATGTGGAATATAAAAAAAATACATACGAACTTACTTACAAACCAGAAATATTCTCACAGACATAGAAAACAAACTTATGTTTACCAAAGGGGAAGGGGGGAGGAATTAATTAGGAGCTTCAGATTAAAATGTGCACATTACTATATATAAAATAGATAAACAACAAGGACCTAGTGTATAGCACAGGGAACTCTGCTCAATATTCTATAATAACCTATGTGTGAAGAGAATCTAAAAAAGAATAGATATTTATATAGGTATAACTGAATCACTTTGCTGTACACCTGAAACTAACACAACATTGTAAATCAACTATACTTCAATAAAAAACCATAATATATATCTATACTATAACTGAATCTGTTTGCTGTACACCTGAAACATTGTAAATTAATTATACTTCAATAAAAAATAAAAATTAAAGAAAAAGGAAAAGCGGAAATGTATTTTGAGGAATGTTCAAGAGATTAGAATATTATTTTCATTTTATCTTTTAGAAAACGTTCAATTCTGGGGGAATCTCAGTTTAATGATTTCCTGCTAGCTTACTACCCAAGTTTTCCTATTTTCTATGAGATACAACTTTCTGTCTCATTCTCCAGGAGAGACACTGGGTAATTATTATGATGAGCAAGTTACTCTTTTGCTGCCTCTTCTTGGGGTTGATGTGGTAGGACTCTGACTTCCTCCCAGGCAGTTGAGTCCTGGCAGAAATCTGATGACCTCTTTCTTGTCTTTTTCTTGTACAGATCAGAAGCAACAGACCTGGAACGAGGGAGTGCATAACTTTTTGGTATGTAATTGAGAACTCTTCAAAACTAATTCTTTCTTTTGGTGATATTCATGACCTGAACAGCCCGTACTCCACTTTGTTATTCTAATTTGTGAACCAAATTATAATAGCCTAGGTATATTTACCCCGAGGCTAGGATTAATGCAGAGAGAAGCTAATGGTATTCATAAATAACCAACTGTATTTGGTCCTCTGGATTTCCCTTGAAAACGGATTCTTGACGGCGATTACATTTCAGTAGGAGAGCTGCTTAGTAAAGCAATTTATTTATGGAATTATCTTGTTTGAGCCCCTTAGTGGTCAGGGACATACCAAACTGTCAAAGTACCATAGAACTATAATTATGTGAAGAATCTATTTTATAAGCAACTATGGGTTTAGATGCCCATATGTAAATTGAAAGTTCTAGAAATGAGGTGTTTACTAATATAAAATTACTAAGGACTATAATGAAATATTTATATTTAGTAATTATTATATCAATATAAAAGTAAAATAATCTTAAGATGTTCTCATCTTTAAAGTTCATCCCTAATGAGCTAGGTAAGACTGGAGTTCTACAAATATATATCTAATTTTTCTCATTATTCCTTTAATTTCCTGTTTATAAAATGATTCAAAAAGAATGTCTTAGTTCCTCACTGGGACACCTATCACTTGTTTAGTTTAACTCTGCTTATAACTTGCCAAAGAATACAAGAGAAGCATTCTTTTCATAGCTATCTATCAAGAATACCTTCTTTTGTGACTCCATGGATATAATGAAATAGTAGTAATTTTTCAGAAAATATTAGTATATTAATTCAAGAGCTACTATTTTTCTATGAAGCGAAGAAACAATAGTAATAATAATCACTTTTCTCCCCAGTATGTACTTTCTACCACTTCCAATTACCTAGCAACTGCCTTTGAAACTTTGTTACTCATGACCCATTAGTCACCATCATTTTTTTTTAATATCTTTGTAGGAGTATAATTGCTTTATGATGGTGTGTTAGTTTCTGCTTTATAACTAAGTGAATCAGCTATACATATACATATACCCCCATATCTCCTCCCTCTTGCGTCTCCCTCCCACCCTCCCTATCCCACCCCTCTAGGTGGTCACAAAGCACTGAGCTGATCTGTCTGTGCTACGTGGCTGCTTCCCACTAGCGATCTATTTTACATTTGGTAGTGTATATGTGTCCATGCCACTCTCTCACTTCGTCCCAGCTTACCCTTCCCCCTCCCCACAGCCTCAAGTCCACTCTCTACGTCTGAGTCTTTATTTCTGTCCTGTCCCTAGCTTCATCAGAACCTTTTTTTTTTTTTTTTTTAGATTCCATATATATGTGTGAGCATACGGTATTTGTTTTTCTCTTTCTGACTTACTTCGCTCTGTATAATGGACTCTAGGTCCATCCACCTCACTACAAAAACTCAATTTTGTTTCTTTTTATGGCTGAGTAATATTCCACTGTATGTATGTGCCACATCTTCTTTATCCATTTATCTGTTGATGGACACTGAGTTTGCTTCCATGTCCTGGCTATTGTAAATAGAGCTGTAATGAACATTGTGGTACATGACTCTTTTTTTTTTTTTTTTTTTTTGCGGTACACGGGCCTCTCACCGTTGTGACCTCTCCCATTGTGGAGCACAGGCTCTGGATGCGCAGGGTCAGTGGCCCTGGCTCACGGGCCTAGCTGCTCCGTGACATGTGGGATCTTCCCAGACCGGAGCATGAACCTGTGTCCCCTGCATCGGCAGGTGGACTCTCAACCACTGTGCCATCAGGGAAGTCTTTTTGAATTATGGTTTTCTCAAGGTATATACCCAGTAGTGGGATTGCAGGGTCGTATGGTAGTTCGATTTTTAGTTTTTTAAGGAACCTGCATATGGTTCTCCATAGTGGCTGTATCAATTTACATTCCCACAAACAAGGCAAGAGGGTTCCCTCTTCTCCCCACCCTTTATAGTATTTATTGTTTGTAGATGTTTTAATGAAGGCCATTTTGACTGGTGTGCAGTGATAGCTCATTGTAGTTTTGATTTGCATTTCTCTAATGATTAGTGATGTTGGGCATCCTTTCATGTGTTTGTTGGCAATCTGTATATCTTCTTTGGAGAAATGTCTGTTTAGGTCTTCTGCCCATTTTTTGATTGTTTTTGTTTTTTTTTTTTTTGATATTGAGCTGCATGAGCTGCTTGTAAACTTTGGAGATGAATCTTTTGTCAGTTGCTTCATTTGCAAATGTTTTCTCCCATTCTGAGGGTTGTCTTTTCGTCTTGTTATGGTTTCCCTTGCTGTGCAAAAGCTTTTAAGTTTCATTAGGTCCCATTTGTTTATTTTTGTTTTTATTTGCATTACTCTAGGAGGTGGGTCAAAAAGGATCTTGCTGTGATTTATGTCATAGAGTGTTCTGCCTATGTTTTCCTCTAAGAGTTTTATAGTGTCTGGCCTTACATTTAGGTCTTTAATCCATTTTGAGTTTATTTTTGTGTATGGTGTTAGGGAGTGTTCTAATTTCACTCTTTTACATGTAGCTGTCCAGTTTTCAAAGCACCACTTATTGAAGAGGCTATCTTTTCTCCATTGTGTATTCTTGCCTCCTTTATCAAAAATAAGGTGACCATATGTGTGTGGGTTTATCTCTGGGCTTTCTATCCTGTTCCATTGATCTACATTTCTGTTTTAGTGCCAGTACCATACTGTCTTGATTACTGTAGCTTTGTAGTATAGTCTGAAATCCAAGAGCCTGATTCCTCCAGCTCCGTTTTTCTTTCTCAAGATTGCTTTGCCTATTTGGGGTCTTTTGTGTTTCCATACAAATTGAGCAATCTTTTGTTCTGATTCTGTGAAAAATGCCTTTGGTAGTTTGATAGGGATTGCATTGAATCTGTAGTTTGCTTTGGGTAGTATAGTCGTTTTGACAATGTTGAATCTTCCAATCCAAGAATGTGGTATATCTCTCCATCTGTTTGTATCATCTTTAATTCCTTTCATCAGTGTCTTATGGTTTTCTGCATACCGAAAACTTTTGTCTTTTGTCTCCTTAGGTAGGTTTATTCCTAGGTATTTTATTCTTTTTGTTGCAATGGTAAATGGGAGTGTTTCATTAATTTCTCTTTCAGATTTTTCATCATTACTGCATAGGAATGCAAGAGATTTCTGTGCATTAATTTTGTATCCTGCTACTTTACCAAATGCATTGATTAGCTCTAGTAGTTTTCTGGTGGCATCTTTAGGATTCTCTATATATAGTATCATGTCATCTGCAAACAGTGACAGCTTTACTTCTTTTCTGATTTGGATTCCTCTTATTTCTTTTTCTTCTCTGATTGCTGTGGCTAAAACTTCCAAAACAATGTTGAGTAATAGTGGTGAGAGTGGGCAACCTTGTCTTTTCCTGATCTTAGTGGAAATGGTTTCAGTTTTTCACCATTGAGGATGATGTTGGCTGTGGGTTTGTCATATATGGCCTTTATTATGTTGAGAAAAGTTCGCTCTATGCCTACTTTCTGGAGGATTTTTTTTATCATAAATGGGTGTTCAATTTTGTTGAAAGCTTTTTCTGCATCTATTGAGATGATCATATGGTTTTTCTCCTTCAATTTGTTAATATGGTTTATCACATTGACAGATTTGCATATATTGAAGAATCCTTGCGTTCCTGGGATAAACCCCCTTCATCATGGTGTATGACCCTTTTAATGTGCTTTTGGATTCTGTTTGCTAGTATTTTGTTGAGGACTTTTGCATCTATGTTCATCAGTGATATTAGCCCGTAGTTTTTGACATCTTTGTCTGGTTTTGGTATCAGGGTGATGGTGGCCTCGTAGAATGAGTTTGGGAGTGTCCCTCCTCTGCTATATTTTGGAAGAGTTTGAGAAGGATAAGTGTTAGCTCTTCTTTAAATGTTTGATAGAATTTGCCTGTGAAGCCATCTGGTCTTGGGCTTTTGTTTGCTGGAAGATTTTAAATCACAGTCTCAATTTCAGTGCTTGTGATTGGTCTATTCATATTTTCTATTTCTTCCTGGTTCAGTCTTGGAAGGTTGTGCTTTTCTAAGAATTTGTCCATTTCTTCCAGGTTGTCCATTTTATTGGCACATAGTTGATTGTAGTAATCTCTTATGATCCTTTGTATTTCTGCAGTGTCACTTATTACTTCTCCTTTTTCATTTCTAATTCTATTGATTTGAGTCTTCTCCATTTTTTTCTTGATGAGTCTGGCTAATGGTTTATCAATTTTGTTTATCTTCTCAAAGAACATGCTTTTAGTTTTATTGATCTTTGCTATCGTTTCTTTCATTTCTTTTTCATTTATTTCTGATCTGATCTTTATGATTTCTTTCCTTCTGCTAACTTTGGGGTTTCTTTGTTCTCCTTTCTCTAATTGCTTTAGGTAAGGGCTCTGGCTCACTCAGGCGGGAGGGAGGGAGAAGCACCAAATGCGGGGTGAACCTGTGGCAGCAGAGGCCAGTGTGATGTTGCACCAACCTGAGGTGCACCGTGTGTTTCCTGGGGAAATTTTCCCTGGATCTCAGGACCCTGGCAGTGGCAGGCTGCACAGGCTCCCGGGAGGGGAGGTGTGGATAGTGACCTGTGCTTGCACACAGGCTTCTTGGTGGCTGCAGCAGCAGCCTTAGCATTCTCATGCCGTCTCTGCTGTCCACGCAGATAGCCACGGCTCTCGTCCGTCTCTGAAGCTCGTTTAGGCGGTGCTCTGTATCCCCTCTCCTTGCACACCCCGAAGCAATGGTCTCTTGCCTCTTAGGCAGGTCCAGACTTTTTCCAGGACTCCCTCTCAGCTAGCTGTGGTGCACTGGCCCCCTTCAGGCTGTGTTCACACAACCAACCCCCGTCCTCTCCCTGGGATCTGACTTCCGAAGCTAGAACCTCAGCTCCTAGCCCCCAACCCGCCCTGGCTGGTGAGCAGACAAGCTTCTCATCAAGCTTCTCATCAAGCTTCTCTGATCCTCTGTGCAGGAATCTCTCTGCTTTGTTCTCTGCAC